CAAGGAGTTAGCATATAGGCTAAAGGAGTAGACAGCATTCAAGAATCCAGGAAGAGCCATGGCACAGCCAGACTAGTGTTAGACAAAGACCAAACTTTCAGGCTGTATGTGGGTACATATGTATGGTGATGTGTGCATATGCAAGTATGAGCAGGTATGTATGTTTCTTTTGTGTGGGTATGCACATATGTGGTTTTGCATTGTGTACGTGCTTGTATGTACCTGTATGTGAGTGTGCATGTGTGACTATAGTTTTGTGTGTGCACATGTACCTGCATGTGCACATGTGCGTGTGTGTATGTGTGTGTGTGTGTGTGTGAATAGGATAGGAGGATGCTGGAGGCTGGCAGTAAGGCAGTCAAGTCCTGATTATAACCTCTTCTTGTCCAGATGGGACCTGCTAAGGGCTAGATGCAGGTGGTGGCCAGCAAGGAAAAGATGGCTGGGAGGACCCAGGGTAACAATGAGGAAGCCAGGGCACTAGGGGCAGGCCAAGGCTTGGGCAGCAGCCTTTCACCAAGCAGGTAATATAAGCAGTGAGTGATTGAGGGATGGAAAGCTCATTTCTGGGCTTGTGGCTGATTGGTGAGCTGACTGTTCTGCACTAAGTTCTGGGAATGGGCAGGCTGAGGAGTTGGGGGTGTCTGAGGGAAGCAAAGGAGCCAGGGAAGGATGTCAGTGAGTCCTGAACCTCCAACAAGCAGGAGTGCTTGCTGCTGGATGGAAAGGAGAAACAAGAAAAGATCAGAGTGGGTAGCACTTCCTCACATACATCTTGTCCCAGGCACCCTTGTAGCTAAGCACAAATGTCTTTCTATGACTGGTGTGTGTGGTGTGCAAAACTGTATCAGAGTGTGTCTGGGAGTATGTACGCTATGTAGGGGTATGTGAGCATCACCAACCACATGTGTCCAGAGTTCTGGGGACAAGCCCAAGTGCACAGAGACCAGCTAGCTGCTCTGTTCTACTCAGTAATGGAATAAGCAGCCCTCATGGACCTGTCACCTTTGCTCAGTTTCTGGGATCAGCCCCACTGCAGTGACTGTCCCAGCAACCTGAGAGCACAGGACATAGAACACCAGCACTTCTAGGCAGGTTCTGCAAACTTTTCACCAGGGAGGTCCCTCGTTCCTGTAGTGTGGAGTGGCTTCTTTCCCACTTATTTCCTTCCTACCTTTCTGCCCAGCCCAGTCCCCAAGAAAAAAAGAGCAGGCCTAAGGGAAGGTGGGATCAGGATCCCACATGGAATCAGCCCTTCCGCAAAGTGGCCCAGCTGTCCACTGACTTGTGGGAGCCCATGCTACTGATGGTGGCATTCTGTCCTAACACCACCCTAAGGATAGCCTGTGAAAGTCCCAGCCCAGTGACACTGGGTAGCCTTTCCAAGGTTCACAAGCAACGCAGGCAAAGTTGAGACTCAGGCCAAATCTGCTGGACTCTAAAGCCCAGGGCATCTTCAGCAGGATTGTTTAATTCTTACTAATCAGAAAGTAAGCTCCATGAGATCAGTAAGCTCCAGGAAGACAGGCTTTCACCCATCTTGTCCCTGCCCTTCCCCCAGCACCCATCACAGTGCTTGGCCAATGGTATGTACACAATTGACATACATTGGATAGATGAGTAAGGAATGAGTACATTATGCCAACTCAAACAGTGCCAGGGCTAGCCACCTCCTGGTCCCCCAACCCAGAGGCCCCACTTCTCAGTGCTCAAGTCCATTTACCCAATGGTGCATTTGGCCTGTCCGGGGAGGCACAATGAGACCAGACCTCTGCAAAACTGGCTGCCCTTGCTTGCCTGAGGCCTCTCTCTGGTCCTGCTAGTCCATTCCCCACACATCTGCCCACAAGCATCCCCTGGAAGAATGTCCCCACTCCCTGCCTGCTGCCTGTCCTGCTGTTCCCACTGGGCTTAAGCCTCCTCCCCTGAGCTCCCAGGCAACCTGTACAAGGTGGACCTCCTGCCACATCCCCAACACTCCTTGACAATTTTCAAGCGAACCCTAGTCAGTTCCTAAGCTCCAGCCACTCCCCCACCACTATTACCCTTCTGCAAAAATCATACCATTCTTCTGTCCTCCTCACTGTCCCTAGGCAGCAAGGAGACTATGTAAGTAAGGGCCCTTGCAGTGCCCATACAAGCCCCCAGGGCTCCTATGGCCTCAAGACCAAACTCAGTGCTGGGAGTTGTCCTGAAGTGGTAGTGGCACTTCATTGAGTGGGGTGTATGCTAGAAGCCACTGGTCCTGGGACAGCATTAGAAAGAGGTAACCCTGAACCTGGAGTGAGTAGGAAGGGGCACATAGGGAGTGTAAAGGTGCAGGGTAAGCATCCTGCTGGAGTAGGAGTTCTGCTCCAGATGGGGAAATCAGGGCTACTAGAAACTTCCCATTGAGTCTGAGCTGTGGGTTTCTACCCAGGATGTCAAGGCACCAGGAGGAGGAGGCTTGGCAGAATGGGACCGGAAGCTGGCCAGGAAGATGCAGTGACCCCTGGCAGAGTCCATCTGAGAATCTGCACCATGCATGATTTGATGATGATGGTGCCAACTTCTCTCTCTCTCTCTTTCTCTCTCTCTCTCTCAAACATACACACTCACACACATGCTCGTACATACACACATTCACTTTTTAAGGGGCTGCTCAATACTAGGTATATATCCTAAAGAAGTGACAGCCAGGACAGGAACAGATATATGCACACCCATGTTGGTCGCAGCATTATTTACAATAGCAAAGAGATGGAAACAACCTAAGTGCCCATCAACAGAAGAATGGATCGCCAAACCATGGTACATACACATAATGGAATACTATGCAACACTAAATAATAATGTAGAATCTTCAAAACACCACATAACGTGGATGAACTTGGAGGACATTATGCTCAATGAAATAAGTCAACTTCAAATATTGTATTAGTTTACTATTGTAAATAGTCAGGGAAATGTTTACTTATGGAAGGAAACTTTCTTGTTGGCTACCAGGGAGGGGAGAGGACACCGCTAGATAGGTAGAGAGACAAGTATTGATTTGTTGTTGTTGTTATGTGCCGTCGAGTCGGCCCCGACTTATAGCAAACCCTGCTTGGGTTGCCGAGGCAGTATCACTACGGAAGTAGATTGCCCAATCTTCCTTCTGAGGAGTGGCTGGTGGGTTTGAACCGCCAGCCTTCTGGTTAGCAGTCAAATGCCTTAAGCACTATGCTACCAGAGCTCCTTATGCTACCAGAGTTCCTAAGTATTGTTATAGGTGAAGGGAAAGGCAATTTACCAAAAGCAAGTGACCAACACAATGGCACTGAAGAAAGGGAGGACATGGAGAGGTGCACGGGAGTATAGACAACAGGGATAAGCCCTTTTGCATATATAATATTGTGTTATCAGTGATAACAAACATTAATCTATGGTAAAGTAGATGGATGGACAGGTTGAGTGACTGGGTGTGTTAGCAAAAGGAAGTGTACCCATGACCACATAGGGGGCTGGCAGACGATATTTCTGTGTGTGTATGTGTGTGTGCTATACCAAAACCAAACCAAATTCAGTGCCATTGAGTCATAGTGACCACTCCTTGAGTTTCCGAGGCAGTATCAGTACGGAAGTAGATTGCCCAGTCTTCCTTCTGAGGAGTGGCTGGTGGGTTTGAACCAGCAGCCTTCTGGTTAGCAGTCAAAGAATATCCATGTATATAATATATAATAGAGCTAACGGACAAAATTGTGATAGCTTCTTGGCCAGAGTCAGCCACCCTGAGGGAGAGAATAGTTGGACCTGTGGGCTTGGGACCATGGTCACAGGGGACATCAAGTTCAATTGGCATAACACATTACATAAAAACATTGTTCTACATCCTACTTTGGTGAGTAGTGACTGGGGTCTTAAAAGCTTGCAAGCAAACGATGGCTCTCTCCTCGTCCAGAGTAAAGAAGAATGAACAAAACCAAAGACACATGGAAACAATTATTTCAAAGCACTGGTACACCATGTGCTCCTCAGCCTATATAACTATGAGACCAGAAGAATTAGATAGTGACTGGCTACCACTCAGAAGGGAATCTATATAGGAGATCCTGGATAGTGCAGGAGAACAATGTGGAACAAAACTCAAAATCACAAAAACAGGTTTGCTGGTCTGATAGAGCCTGGTGAGAACCCCAGGACTATGGACTCTAGTTACCCTTCAGGTCTGGAATTGAACTCACTCCCATGGCTTCCAGCCAAACAACAGACAGGCATATAGGATGAATAGTTATATCAGGTAGATAGACTCCTTACAATGATCAATCTTGGAAGAACAGAAGGCCAGTATTTGCACATGGAGATAGCTCAAGAGGCAGGAATGCACAGGAAAGAAGGGCACAGGGAAGAGATAACTACAGGGTGGAAGGGGGAAGAGAGATGTTACATTGTGGAGAACTGCATAAAACAAAATGTGTATGGAAAATGAATTTGTAAACTTTCACTCAAATCACGATAAAAAGAAGGAAAAGAAGAAGCTGTCCAACTGTTATCGAAAGTGATTGTGGCCATTTTACTTTCCTACCAGCAGTGTATGAGAATTCCAGTTCTTCCACATCTTTACTAACACTTGGTATGGTCAGTCTTTTCATTTTGGCCATTCTAATATGTGTGTAATGGTGTCTCACTGTGGTTTTATTTTACATTTGTGACTGGTAATGTGAAAAATCTTCCATATGCTTTCTTTGCAAAAACTCTCTTCTTTTTTGGGTCATCTTTTGTGGACATACATTCCCTTTGGCAAAGTAGCCCTCACCTCCTTGGATCCACATTGCTTCCTTCCTAGTCTAGCAAACCCCACCTCCAACATGTGGGCACTTGGAGGCCACCTGGATGTGTCAGCAGATGCCCAGAGTCTGGCTCAAGAAATAGCAGCAACTCCCCAGAGGCATTTCCCTCTGCTCCCTGGCCCAGCTCAATTCTGTTATCCTACATACTCCATAATGGAGCCTGCTAACCTTGGTATCTCTGTCTTTCTGCAGCCACTCGGGAGTCAGCCTTCGTCCATGCCATTGCCTCAGCTGGTGTGGCCTTTGCAGTAACCCGTTCCTGCGCCGAAGGCTCTGCTGCCATCTGTGGCTGCAGTGGCCGTCACCAGGGCTCACCGGGTGAGGGCTGGAAGTGGGGCGGCTGCAGTGAAGACATCGAGTTTGGTGGGATGGTGTCTCGGGAGTTCGCGGATGCGAGGGAGAACCGACCTGATGCCCGCTCAGCCATGAACCGCCACAACAATGAGGCTGGGCGCCAGGTATGTGCTGGGGAAATACATATATCCTGAGCAGAGGTGTACCCTGTTACCCTGGGGGAGCATAACGCTTCCAAGCAATTCCACAATGTCTGGGTCTAGTGCATTCCCACAGGAGGGCATTCCCACAAGAGGACAGAGACACTAGACAGGAGGAACTGGGTAGGGGTCTGCCTCCAGGAGCTCCTACATATCACAAGCAGGGAGATTTGTTGTTGTTAGGTGTCATTGAGTCAGCTCCAACTCACAGTAATCCTATGTACAACAGAACAAAACACTACCCAGCCCTGTGCGATCCTCACAATCTTTGCTATGTTTGAGCCCATCATTGCAGCCACTATGTCAATTCATCTCATTGAAGATCTTTCCCTTTTTCACTGACCCTCTACTTTACCAAGCATGATAGCCTTCTCCTGGGAATGGTCCCTGCTGACAATATGACCAAAGTACCACTCATCTCTCAGCTTGTCATACCATGATGGCTTGCATGCTGCTGTGATGATGGACGCTATGCCACCAGTATCTCAAATACCAGCAGGCTCACCCATGTGGACAGATTTCAGCAGATATTCCAGACTAAGACAGACTAGGAAGAAGGATGGAGCCATCCACTTCCGAAAAAATTGGCCACTGAAGCAGAGAGATAGACAGACAGCTACAAGGCAGTGTGAGAAGTGCTGTGACAAGGAGATGCATGCAAGGTAGATAGGAACAGAGGAGGGCCACCACTCAGCCTGCGGGCTCCAGGAAAACTTCATTGGTAGTGTGTCTGAGTGGATACATGAGGGCAATGGGTAGTTATCTAGGTAGGGGAAAGGCCAGGAGAGCTTCTGAGGCAGCCCAGAGGTGAAAGACTACAAGTTTTCGTCTAGGGTAGAAAATGGAGTAGAAAGGAAGAAGACAGAATTGTAAGATCGAGAGGCTGACAGCGTTAGCAGCCTTGTAAAAGAGAACTTGATGATCATAAGCTCAGTGGGGAACCAATGGAGGGTTCATTGATGATGAGAAATGAAGCACATAAGGACTGAGAAGTGTGCATTAGATTTAGCATCATGAAGGTTATGGAATCACTGGTTGAGAAACAAGATTGCAGAGGGTTGATAGGGCATCCTCAACTTCAACCAATGGTGGATGGAATGATTCAGACTAAATATATACCTTTTTGAATGTATATTATAATTCAGTAAAAAGTGTCAAATAACTGACCATAGAGCAAGGAATTAGCAGCCCAAAGTCCCAGAGAAGACAGGACCCTGCACCTGACACCTTTGCTAAACTAGAAAAGAGTGTAGAAGCTAAGGTGTACTCTGGCAGCCTCACAAAGCTCAGGGACCCACAAAGGGTGTGATCCCTGGTAAATCACTCCTCAGTTCAGCTGGGACCTTGATGTATAAAAGAGAACCAGAAGTAGACCAGCCCTTTTGCACATGTGCAGCCTAGAGAAATCTCAAGACTTGAAATTGGAGTAAAGTGATCCCAGTTTGCTGGTATCCCCCTGTACCTGGGAAAAGTAGACAAAATTTCTTTGGAGGCAGATAACATTATTCTAAGTGCCAAAATATTTTTATAAATAATTTTTTTAACACAATGACCAGAACATAATCAAAGATAGCTAATGTGTCACTTGAGGTGATGACACAAAGAAAGAGAATCAGCAAAAACAACAGAAATAAATCCAGATACTAGAATTATTAGACACAGGTTATGAGAAAAAGTGTGCTTACTATGTTGACAAGCTAAATTCCAATATTGAACATTTCACAGGCAACTGGAATCTATAAAAGAATATATAATAGATTTGGAAAAGAATTACATAGAAATTCTAGAATTGAAGAATGAGTGGAAGCTTCCAGTTAAAGATGATAAACTAAACATAAACCTTTCCCTTCACCCCCTCCTAAAACTCAACTAAAATGTCAGTAAATGAAATTTTAAATAATAAACTTGTGAGAACATGGAAAACAGAAGAGAAGACAGTGATAACAAAGCTTTGAAAATTAAAAAGCAGATAGATACATACTCATTGCCTTAGCAGACCCAAGAAAACTAACTCTTAAGTCAGTAAAGGGGAAACCTGAAGCCCAACCCAGAAATTGCTAATATCAAGGTACCTTGGGAAGTAAATGTAAATGTAGGGCTGGAAACAGAAGATTAGTTAGATTAGTTTAAGGTCTTTCATAAAAACACTTGAAAACCCACTAGTTCCTCTGCTCAACTCCTTGGAGCCCCTCAATTACCCTGGCAGAAGTCTAGAGGCTTACTCTCTGAAAAGGTAAAGCAGAGAGTTTCTGGACTGAGGGACAACAAACACAGCTGAGGGTGAGATATCCAAACTGAAAATTGTCTATCTACATACAAAGATCAGACCTGCACCCCTCTTCTGTTTTCTGAATGCCAGAAGCAAAGCTTGATTGTTCTCCAGACAGGAGAATGGAAGATTCTCCTCTGGGGAATCTGACCAACCCAAACAGACTTAAAGAAACGTACTCCAGGGTTCCCCAACAAAGCAACACAGCCAGTCACTCCACAGTGAGGGCCAAAGTTGAAAATCCCCTCTCAGACACAAAGCAAACCAAACTCACTGCCATCGAGTCAATTCCAACTCATAGTGACCAAGGCAGTACATCTTTATGGAAGCAGATTGCCCAGTCTTCCTTCCTTAGAGGGACTGGTGGGTTTGAACTGTCAACCTTCTGGTTAGCAGCCAAATGCCTTAGGCACTTTGCCACCAGATCACCCTATGCACAGGAGCTTCTAAATATATTTTCAGTGACCCATTTTTAAATGTAAGCAGACAGCCAAGGATCACTGGACAGTGAAAGAGAGCCTTAACAACCACAAAGGTAAAGACAAAAATGAAATCTGTGGGAAATAGATATGAAAAGAGAAGAAAACTTAAAAAAAAAAAAAAAAAGACCCCATTAATATCCTCAGAGAAACAAGAGCAGATACTGTGTACATGAAACTGGAACAGGATATTAATAATTTTAAAAAATCAGAGAACCCCCCCAAAAAAAACCTCTTAAAAATTAAAGATAACAGAAACAAAAATCTCATCAGAAAAGTTGGAACATAGTTGATACACTTACCCAGATTTTAGAGAAAGAAAGAAAAAGATATAAAAAATAGAAGAGAACAGAAAATTTAGAAGATCTGCCCAAGAGACACAACAATGAACACATAGAGAAAGAAGTCAGAAAAGAAACAAGGCAGGAAAATGCCCCAGAACTGAATAGCACAGGTTTCAGAGCCAACAGGCCTCATAAGAGCCTGGCACAGCAGAGGGAAAAGGCTCACATCAAGACACACTGTTGTGAGATTCAGACAGAGCCTATGATGCTTCCAAAGAGAAGCACCCAATCTTTCAAAGAGAAAGTTCTATTGGTGCAACAAATCAGGAAATAAAACATCATAAGACTTCAAGAACAACAATAAAATCTAGAAGAAAATACAGCAATGCTTTTAGAATTCTCAGGAATGAGAAATTATTTTAAACCATGAATTGTATACCTACTACTAAACTATCAATTAAATGCAATAGTAGAAAAGTTTTGTTTCCAGATGAAAATGATGCAGAACTTGATATATTCAAACATCTTAAATAAAGTGTTTAGGCAAGGGAGAGTGTGGCAATGAATCAGTGATAACCAAACTCAACCCACCACCATCAAGTCAATTCCAACTCACAATGACACTATAGGACAGACTAGAACTGCCCCATGGGGTTTCCATGGCTATAAACCTTTACAGATACAGACTGCCTCATCTTTCTCCTACAAAGTTGCTGGTGAGCTCAAACTTCCAACCTTTTGGTTAGCAGCCCAATACTTTAACCACAACACCACTAGAGTTCCTAAATCAGTGATATATGTGGGGAAAAAAAAAAGCAACAATAAGTTGTATAAGAAAGTATAATAATAATGTATCACATGGCACAGCTGAATATGACATTTTGAATAGTCCTATTTCTGTCAGGACTGAATATTAATCTAACTGAAATAATATTATCATTTTAAGGATAGGATTAAGGAGACTGAGGAATGTGCATCAAAGTGATAGGATGATGAAAGAGAGCTAAATTCTCATCTTACATGCATGTTACTAGAGGTATAAGAGTTGCAAGGGGCTACCTAAGGGGTCAGGAAAGTGCTGGGTGTGTTAATGTGGGAACAGAGCTGTTTTTCTTAGAAGGTCTTAGTAACTATAGGACTTTTTAAAATGTGTGCATTTATAATTTTGATCAAAATTAAAATAAAGTAAACAAGACAAGAGATTGGAAGTGGCAGCTCCTCTTTGGAAAAGCCTGGAGATTAGACATAACTGGACTCGGGGGATGTATTTTACAGATGCTCCTAAGACAGGGCCAATAGAAGAAAGGGTTCAAGAAACAGCAGAAAGAGAGGATTGGGGCGGACACAAGATCTGGAACCAAAACCCAGTAGAAACCTTAGCCTAGCACTGTCCAGTAGAAATATAATAGGAGCCATATATATAATCTTACATTTTCTAGTAGTTTAATACTAGAAATTAGTTGAATATTAAATTTTATTTAAACCAATATACACAAATTTTATCATTTCAATCATGTAACCATTATAAAAATTATGAGATATTTTAAGAGATACATGTGTGTGTGTATACATATATATAATAAATAAATGCACTGCTGTAGAGTCAGACCTGACTCATAGCGACCCCTCTTTGGGTTTCTGAGGCAGTATCACTAAGGAAGTAGATTGCCCAACCTTCCTTCCAAGGAATGGCTAGTGTGTGTGTGTGTGTGTGTGTGCGTGTGTGTGTGTGTGTGTGTACACACATGTATTTTTTAAATCATAAGTTTTGGAAAGCCAGTGTGCTGTTTGCATCTCAATTTGGACTAGCCACATTTCAGGTGCTCATGTGGGGCCAGTGGCTGCCATAGTAGACAGAGTAGAATTAGTCAGTCTAATTACATCACATCAGCCACTCCATAACAACAACAATTACATCACATGCCCCTTTCCTGTCTGCCCCAACCCCACTCTTTCCTTCAAAGAAAAGGAAGCTCCCAATACTCAGGAGCTCTGGTGGCAGAGTGCCTAAAGCATTTGACTGCTAACTAGAAGGCTGGCAGTTCAAACCCACCAGCCACTCCTCAGAAGGAATTTGGGCAATCTACTTGGGTAGTGATGTTGTTGTTGTTGTTGTTATTTGCCGTTGAGTCGGCCCCGACTCATAGCGACCCCTCCTTGGGTTTCCGAGGCAGTATCACTACAGAAGTAGGATTGCCCAACCTTCCTTCCAAAGAGTGGCTGGTGGGTTTGAACCGCCAGCCTTCTGGTTAGCAGTCAAGTGCCTTAGCCACTATGATACCACCTCAGAAACCCAAAGAGGGTCGCTGAGCTGGGGCCAACTCTATGATGGCAATGGGTTTGTATCCCAAAACCCACCCAGCCTTCCTCTGGACAGTTCTTCCAGGCAGAATGAATGCCTTCTTGCCTCCTTCCACTCCCACGTTTCTATTCAGCAATTTTCTTGTAGATTATCATGCATCAGAAAAAGTTCCTCCCTTCACTCATTCAGTCACCAGATACTAATAGAAAGAGACTCAGCAGAGAGGCAAAGATACAAGTCCCTGCCCTTCCCCTGGAGATCTGGGCTCTGACAGAGACCGCAGCCGAGAGTACCTGAAGCACCACAGAAAAGGGGCACCAGAGGAAGGAAGCCAATGAATGGTGCTGGGCCCCTGGGAGGGCACCACATCTGCTGGGGAGTTCCCAGGGGTTGGAAGACTAGGGGCCTGGGGCAAGCAGACAGAGGGTGGCACATTTAGGATGGGCATAGCCACGGTTGAGATGGGGCCTGCACAGAGGGACAGGGCAGTGAAGGTGGACTGCTGACGTTGTGCGCTCCTCCAGGCCATCGCCAGCCACATGCACCTCAAGTGCAAGTGCCACGGGTTGTCGGGCAGCTGCGAGGTGAAGACCTGCTGGTGGTCGCAGCCCGACTTCCGCACCATTGGTGACTTCCTCAAGGACAAGTACGACAGCGCCTCGGAAATGGTGGTGGAGAAGCACCGTGAGTCCCGCGGCTGGGTGGAGACCCTACGGCCGCGCTACAACTATTTCAAGGTGCCCACGGAACGCGACCTGGTCTACTACGAGACTTCACCTAACTTCTGCGAGCCCAACCCCGAAACGGGTTCCTTTGGCACCCGCGACCGCACGTGCAACGTGAGCTCCCATGGCATTGACGGCTGCGACCTGCTCTGCTGCGGCCGTGGCCACAATACGCGCACGGAAAGGCGCAAGGAGAAGTGCCACTGCGTCTTCCACTGGTGCTGCTACGTCAGCTGCCAGGAGTGCGCACGCGTCTACGACGTGCACACCTGCAAGTAGGGGCCAGGCGGACCAGCCTGCAGCACCAGGCCGCTCCTCCCCCCCCCCCCCCCCCCCCCCCCCCGAGCGGGCCTGAGCCGGGTTCCTGGAAGGGGCGGGACTCTGGGAGCGGGGCTCCAGGGAAGGGCGGGGCCCTGGGAAGGGCAGGGCTCTGTGGGCGGTGGCAGGACCCCAGGTGGGGTGGGTGGATCTGGGGAGGGGAGGGGCTTCAGATAGGTCCGTGCCTAAGTCTAGGGTGGGGCCCTGGGGTTTGCAGGACTCCAGGGTTGGGGGGGTGGGGGATGGTCCTGAGCTGGTCTGGGAGTGACTAGTTGGGTGGGGGGTCCCTCTCAGCCCTGGATTTGCAGTATCCTGCTGCTAGCCAGAACTCCTAGGAAAACCTGAATCCTGCAGGGCGGACTCTTCCCTTCTGTACCACCGCTCCAGGAGCAGACCTCCAGCACCTGGGGGAAGGTAGAGGGGCCTGGGGGAAAGAGGCTGAGGAAGGGGCCCTGATCATAGGTTCAGACCTTTGCATTAGACACTGATCTTCCTCCCAAGTTTAGCCGGGAGTGAATTACCCGTCATTCCTACTGTATTCCTCAGCCCCCAGCTGTTGCGTCCCAGTTCTCGGCCTCCTCAGCTATGCCCTCACTCTGCAACCAATCCAATCAGGAGTCCAATCAGGATCCCTCTCACCTATTTGTCTTCATTTCTCCCCACCTGAACCCCACCCCAGCAAGAAGAGAGTGAACCCTCTATCTCCATCCATCCCCTTGCTCCCTCCTTGCCCCCATTCCCTCCCTCCACCCCTGGTAAGGACTTGTAAGAGAAAGATAGGGAGGGGTCCGAACTTGCAAGGCTTCACAGAGCTGTGGGCCTGAGCCACTGGCCAAGTCACTCTTCACTCCATCACTCTGCCTTTGAGGTCACTTTTGGGTTGGATTGTGTCTGGAAGAATTCATGGACTCCTTGGCCACTGCTGCTGCAGACAGAGACCCTGAAATGGAGTGGTCTTCCTTACAGGATAACTGGCATCCCTGGGACTCTCCCCATCCCAGGGTGTGCCTACTGCTGAGACTGGGGTGGCTTTGCCAGATCTGCCTGCCCCTGATGCTGGTCCTGGGGAAAATTCTAGCTGGCCAGTCACCCTTCACACCTCTGACTAGGTCCCTCCCCGGAAAGTCAGGGAACGGGAGAGGCCCCTCCACTGTCTTCCCATCAGGTACCCCTACAAAGTCCCAGCCATGCAAAGACCCTCTCCTCAGCCTCTGCCACTGTGAACGTCCCTGCCCTCCAGATCCTGGAGAGCCCATCTCAAGGCAGGGGAGGGGGTGGCAAGGCAGAGCCTGAAGGGCCTGAAAGACTGCACACCTGACCAAGACATTCACCTCGGATTCTGCATTTTTTGTTTTAATTTTATTTCCAATGCTGCTATTATTCACCATACACTGGAGCTAGACAAACAGACTTTTGGGGGTTTGGTTTTGTTTTGTTTTCCCTTTTCTTTCTATGAAAGAAATTATTTTAGTCATAGTTTGTGAGTTTCAAACAACGAGAAAAGTAAAAACAAAAAGGAGAAACAACCCAATAAGCCTGTGTCCAAGCTAGGTTTTTTGGTGGGGTCTGCGTGCTTGCTGCATATTGAGCCACCAATGCTGGGAGGTGGAGAAGATGCTGCTGACCAGCTCAGGGTGGCCCTGTCTGGGGGCAATGTCATACACCATGGCAGGGAGGGAGACGAGGGTGTGCTTAATGCAAAGATTCATGGGCCCCATGGTGGTCATCAGAGGTCAAAATTTCAAGGTGAGGGAATGAGGACAACCAACCAAAGAAAGGAAGAAATAGCCCATTGGCCTGAGGCCTGGGGTGAGATAGGTTAGGGACCCAGGTGGAAGCCTCTAATGGGTCCCAGGAGGAGCCCTGTAACCCTGTGTGTGTGTATATGTGTGTGTGAGTGTGGATGTGCTTAGAGAGCAGCCCACAACCATGGATTGGAAGCATGGAACTTACTCTTCACTCATTTAACAATCAGCTGCTGAGTGTCACTATAGGCCTGATGCTCTCTGGGATCCAGGATGTGGGGCCCACCATGGGTATCCAAGAACACAATTGGCTGAGAGGTGAGCCAGTTGCTCAAGATGTGCTCCCTGAACCAGAGGCTCCACCTAGGAGCCTGGAAGCTTCTGAATGCTCCCTCCTGGTCCTGGCTTTCAGGTGGCCATGGAGGGTTCTCACAGATACCTGGGTGCATGTATATCTCCTGTGAGAATGGGTACAGCCTCTGGAATGGCCCTGGAGTCCCAAAAATAAGGACAGGGTCCCTACCCCACCCCCCTCCCAACCTCTAGTTCGTAGTTCTGGCTGGCTCTTGCCATTTAGCTGGCTGGGAGAGGATGAATATACTGGCTGCCCTGACCACCAATAAGGTTAACCTCAGTGGCTCAGGCCTCTTGACACAGCCCAGACAGCATCAAGGTGCTCCCCACCCACCTAACTGGGCCTCTGCCTAGGAGGACATTATTGCACCTCTGCCTGGCCTGGCCTCTGCCTGCACCAGGTTCCCTGGAGAGGGCTGCAGGAGGGGAGAAGTGGGGAGAGCAGAAGGGGTCCTCCTTGGTTGTCATCTGCCAGCCCTTCATAAACCCCATGGCTCAGGCTGGAGAGAGGAGCCTGTGGCCACTGACCTCACCATACACAAGATACCCCACCAAGTAGAGCTCCGACCATCTCACTATGACCTCAGGAAGGGGACCCCAGATCTGTGGAAAAGGCCTGGGAAAGCCACCATGATCCCTGAGCCATCCAACTCACCAAGAACCCCAGACTTCTGCTGCCCCTTTAGCTCCCTACTGTAGCGACATACACCCAGTCTCTCACACCCCAGAATCTCACAGACATCCCCACAACTTCCTGCATCCTTGCCACACACCTCACTTGTTCCCTCAGCCTGTGAGCCGGCCACCAGTTCTGAGTCTGCCCTGTGCTCCTCCTCATCCCTCTCCAGCACAGGTGCCACACTGGTTCTCATCTGCTCCAACCACCCCTGTGAAGCACATGGGAGTGAGCAGACCACTTCACTGGCTCCAGGCACCCAGGAGAGACAAGTAGAGGCCTCAAACTCTCATTGCTATGGAGTCTGACTCATAACGACCCCTCCTTGGGTTTCCGAGGTGGTATCACTATGGAAGTAGATTGTCCAACCTTCCTTTTGAGGAGTGGCTGGTGGGTTTGAATGACCAGCCTTCTAGTTAGCAGTCAAATGCCTTAGGTACTACACCACCAGAGCTCCCAGTAAAGGCCTCAGGAGGGAGCAATGAGTGAGACTCAGCCATGGGGTAGTCCGTGCTACTAAACAACAGTGACAGGGGAGCAGGGACCTAGGGACAGGGACAGACTGTATGCATCATGCTTCAGGACTAGGTAAGCACAGACCAGGATCCAGACCTCCCAAAACCTGTCTTCCTGGGACCCATGCTAGTCACTTCCCATGCTTCACAGCTCCTAGATTCAGGGCCTGGGCTCACTGCAAAAGGCCCATTCCAGGCCAGGTTGCCACTGATGCTAGGCCTGCAGGCAGACACAGGACTAGGCCTGGGCCTCACCCTGCAGGCTAGCTTCTCCACAGTTTCCAAAAGACAATCCGAGAATTTCCAGGTAGAGGGAAGCTCTTCTGAGCCCCAGGGGTCAGCCTAGCCTGATTGGCTGCAGTGACGCCCCATAAAGAGGGAGGCAGTGATTAAATGTTGTGGCAGTAGCCAAGGACAGAGTTGAGGCGCCCAATCTACCTCACATCAAGTGAGTCACCCGCAGGGTCAGGCTGGGTCACTATAGGCCCCAAGCCTCAGGGTCCTGACAGCTCAGGTCCAATCAGCCAGCCAGGAATCCTAAAAAATGCTCCTAAGAAGTCAGGACTGGAGGTCCTGCAGCCTCAGGGATTGCGTGTGTCTCTGGAGAGGGTGGCCTGCTCCTGCAAGACTGCCGGCGCCTACCATCAGGGCCTACTTCGGCCTGTCAGATGGGCACAGACAGGGATCTCACATCAAGTGAGTCACCCGCAGGGTCAGGCTGGGTCACTATAGGCCCCAAGCCTCAGGGTCCTGGCAGCTCAGGTCCAATCAGCCAGCCAGGAATCCTGCAAAATGCTCCTAAGAAGTCAGGACTGGAGGTCCTGCAGCCTCAGGGATTGGGTGTGTCTCTGGAGAGGGTGGCCTGCTCCTGCAAGACTGCCGGCGCCTGCCATCAGGGCCTACTTTGGCCTGTCAGATGGGCACAGACAGGGATCTCTGAGTCAAGGCCCTGGGAGGAGCCGCCTTAATTGGCACCTGCTGGTGCCCAGGTGCCGGCTCCACAGATGAAAGGAACCAAGTGGGGCCAGGCACACCACAGGGAAGCCAGGGACACAGGGCAAAGAGGAAAGCAGGGCAGGTGCCCTTGAGGGGGAGAGCAGAGCTGAGGAATTTAGACAATTTGGGAACACTTGTGGGTGCCAAAGCGAGGGGCTGTAACTGGACTTTCCCAGCTCAAAGACCACAAAGACCTCTGAGCACAGGACTGTGAGCGCCAGTTGTCCAGGCTCTGCTCTGTTGTCGGGCCAAGACAGGGAGAGGCACCAGGTTGAGAACACACAGCATGTAAGGGACCCAGATTAGGTCCAACCGGGCTCTGGCCTTTGGCTACCAAAAAACCAAAGTCACTGTCATTGAGTTGATTCTGACTCATAATGACCCCCTTTGGGAGCTCTGGTGGCATAGTGCTTAAGACATTTGACTGCTAACAGAAGGCTGGTGGTTCAAACCCACCAGCCACTCCTTGGAAGGAGGGTTGGGCAATCTACTTCCATAGTGATACTGCCTCGGAAACCCAAAGAGGGGTCACTATGAGTCAGATCCAATTCAATGGCAGTGAGTTTAGTTTTGGTTTTGGGTTTCTAGGTAGTAAATCTTTAAGGTCATAGATTGCCCAGTCTTCCTTCCACGGAGTGGCTGATGGGTTTGAACCACTAACCTTCTGGTTAGCAG